GGGCATAGTTGTAGACTGTCTTGATGCCAGATCGGTGTCGCTATTGGTGGCCTTGAGGCAGCTGTTTGGGGCCTTGAGACCCATGGGCTTCCCGTGTGGAACGTGTCAGGGCTGAGTAGCTTGCTTCCTCCTGTACTGAAGTGGCTGCACTGTGCTGCGTCTCCGCGAGAATCTCTTGCTCCCTCCATCCTGCACATCGTAGGTCGCAGGCTTTGAAGCCCCATGCCCGAAAGCATGTACTCTTTCCGCTTCTCCAGGCTCAGATCAAGGCAAGGAGGCTCGGAGGGAATGGTTTTCAGGTTCAGATCGAAAGGGTTCGGCCTGAAGACCCCGAAACCCAATCAGACCCTTGGGATTGTATAATAACCCCGCGCCTTTAGGTTTAGTCTTGCTTGTTGGGTGCTGTATATAAGGTTTTCTATTTTTGATAGTAAAAAGACACGAAGGAAATACCACGATAACAAAACGATAACGCCATTTTCATGGAACAACGATTAACGACGTTCAGGGATGAAGATATTTATACGTGGTTATTATACAACCCCGCTTGCGGATCGAACTGCTCAATCTGCGTCACTCAGACGAACTCGGCCGTTTTGTCCCCAGTCATCTCTCACACTAGTATATAGATTCCATCGCATAGCTTTCCGTAAAGGTCGTAAGCCTCGCAGGCACCAAGTTCAACCACTTAGCCCAAGGGTGTTATGTAGTTCCTCTGGATCCAAGTTCCCAGCCGTCGGCTTCAGTGGTCTGGGATGTTTGATCCGGAGCGCATGATGTCACGTCTTCTCCTGATGGCACTTGGGTCGGCGTCTATTGTATCGGATTACTGGACATCATTCTCGCCCTCTCTGGAACATTGCCGAAAGACTGTAGAGGGAGGGTCCCGAAGGGTTTCGAGCTTAGAGGTCAACACCGAAACACCGAGCATGATCGCATCCATACCTTCCTCTCGCCATGAATGCATCTGCTGCATCCATCCATGCCTACCTCCGCTTATCCGTCCATCCATCGGGCCATCCATCCATCCGCCCACCATCCATCCATCCATCCATCTATCCATCCGTTCATCCATCTTATAAACCCTATGGTTAACCTCCTCTACAAGCACTCCCACATCTACAAATCAACCGTTTGGTAAGCTTCTACATGAGCCCTCGCGCATGCCCGTAACAACAAGCTTTCTTATCAGCCGTTGAAATTAGAGACGTGACCGTTTCCCTGATGCACTGGCGGGATAAAGGACCACGGGTGAAATTCTTCCCCCATGCGACAGCCGGATTCAGGGAAATGGCCAATATGTTTCCGCACGTGCTGGCAGGATGCAGAAACATTTCCGAGCCAGAATTGACACGTGCCCACAATGTTGGCCCCCAAGTACCGGCGAAATCGACAGTTTCCAACAACAATCATCACGGCACGACACGCTTAATGCCAATGTATTGGAACGTGCAGTGGAACTCGCTTACAGTACCGGCAAACATGCACAGCGCGATTTCATTTGACCGAGCACGCTGGCATCCCGAGGGTGTTGCCAAATCCGAGGACGAATCCTCACGGCACCACACGCGCGGCGCACCATTTTACGATGTTGACTTATTAAGGGCCAACCTCGAAGACCTCACATCATGGCACACAATTCCACGGCAGCCTAAGAGACTGCCCTGCCTCGCATCAACATATATATACGTCAAGTATCGCACGGACAAATCATTGCCACGCTTTCGGTGATAAAGCCTGCCCCCGCCCTGAATTCCGGCCGTTTGAAAACGGTTTCCGAACAACACCATTCGCATTCTTGGGACGAGTTTAAACTTCCTTCTGAATTCTTGTGATGCTCGACTCGCTAGCGGCTAACCCCTTTCACTTTGCATTTCCTTCTTGGCCCATGCTGAGCTACCTTCGACTTATAATTATATAGAACTGCCGGAGGCCCGCTATACGAGAAGCTTCTTTGTTCGCCAGGCAGCGAGAGCCGGAGCCTTTAGGCCACTCGAAGGATCGGAGCAGACACTTTGCTGCGCACTGCGAGGCGGTCTGATTCTGGCTGTTTCAGTATTGCCAGGGGTCAAGGAGAAGGAGGCTCTGAGATCTGAGTGCGAAATAAATCAACCTGATAAGAAGAATCTCGAACCGTGAACTGTTTGGGCAAAACATCGAGACAACAGGCCTTGGGCATTAGCCCTTCGGCTTGGGACTGTCGGCTTTGAGGACCGAGGCAAACATTTGGGCTTTCCCTACTTAGTGTCTTCCGAGGATACAAGAGAAAGCCCAGGAGAAGGAGAAATGACTTCCAGTGATCCACTCCACGGGCCCGCCTCATTGATGCCCGCCACCCTGTTTCACGCACGTACTAGCTGGCAGCGCGGAAAGTTCGCTTGCCTGATAGCTTGCTTGCGTGGTTGGTTACAAGCGAACAATATGCACTTTGGCGCATTGCCAATGCTGTTGCATTCCGGTCTCAGCTTTTTCCGCAGCTGCAAGCGGGGCTTTGGAGTCGTACTTCAAGATGAAATCCTGCCCTGGATGCTTGCTCCTACATTAGGGCCTACATGATGCACTGCCTTCTTTCATGCAACCCCATCCCCCAACTTGCTCCTGGATGTGAGATTGTGCACAGCGTTGTCGGCACTTGCTGTCAAGGGCTTGACACGAAGTTCGGCAGCTGACAAGACATTCTAGAACCCGTGCCAAGACGTGAACACTCCAATCTAACGAAGCCTCAGCAGTAACATCTACAGATCCCTGCTAGGTGGCTCGAATCGTCGTTAAATGTTTCACCACAGCAACAAATGCAGGGAGCGGGAGTGCCTGACGCTGAGGCCGACGTGTTCCGTGTAGACTACTTTGAGGCAGGAGTGCCTCAATTCCACAAATGCACAGAAATCTCTGCGTCTGCTGAGCAGCGTTGAACTTTGGTTGGGTTTGAGGGGGGATGTAGTTTGGCCAAGGTGTTAGCGATGTTGTTGCGATCTAGCCTGAGGGAAGATATCGCACCACGGCAAATATGATAACATATTGTGATTTGTCACTGACATGCGTATATGTGCTTCTGCCTTCTGGTTAGGAATCAGACCAACTTTGTCTCACTACGCAGCTTGACTGCTCAAGGACCGCCTAGCGAGTCCCAGGAAAAGACCGCTTACAGCCTGGGGGTTGTAGGACCTGTCCTCTACCTGAGCAACAACCTTACGGTTTTAACTCTGATCATCCTTGCTTTGCCTGCTGCATTGCTTTTTATCTACGATCGGCTGCCTTGGGCTTTGTGACCGAGAGTTGAGTGGAATCCTCCGCTTTTCACAGGTTATCAGCCGTAAGGCCTCCGCATCCGATTGTGGATTGCTGCTTCGCTGCTGCTGCTCGGCACTCGGACCGCCTGATCCAATCAGTGTCTGATCACTACCGTTTTCCTGGCTCAGACCAAGTTCGGAACTTGTGATTGGCCACGCCACCGAGAGAATGGCGACTCCGATCGGTTCTCCCCGTGTCCCCTCGACTGTCGGTTCTTCACTAGTGACGCCAGTTGCTCGGGATGTCGTGGAGCCCGATGATAGTGCCCACGCATCTCGCTGCACTGCACCCGCCTCGCACGCTTCGCTCGCTCGCTCTGCTTCACTGCTTGCTTCGCCGCCTGCTGAGGACGATCAGAGAGCTCAGCACCATGCGCCGCTTTTGCCATGCTCTGCTGCCGCTTTCGCAACGCCTGGCACGATGCACGCCGGCATGCTGCCTGCTTCTGCCACCGCTCGTGCTTTGCCTTTGTTGCCTGCCTTTTCTGCGTCCGCTGCTCCTGCTGCTTCCGCACCTGCCCTTCTTCCGACCGATTCTTTGTCTTGTCCTCTGTCCCTTCGCGGGGATCCAGAGGGCGCTCGGGCCCTCTTTGGGTCCGGGCCGGACGGCCGTGGTCCACCGATTTCGGACCCGGCGTCCTTTCGTCCACCGCGCCCCGATTCTTATGGGCCGGTGGCAGGCCGCGGTGGAGCCTCGCTCCCCGACGAGCCCATGAGCGAGCACCCGGGTGCACCCCATGTGTCCGTCGCAACGATTACCGCGGCGGATCATGGTGGTGCTGCCCCCGCCACCGATAACGGCGGGAGGCTTCCCGGTCCCTGCGCTGTCAGGGCCCTGGTCGATGAAGCCATTGGGTCGGAAGCATCCGCGCGTATCGCCACCGATATTCTGGCGATCGCGCAGGGTGTGTCCAACACCCAAGCCGACCTCGATATTCTGAGGAACGGCGTCTCGGACATTGCTGAAGCACTTGAAGACAAGATCCGAGAAATGTGGGAGCTTCTACAGGCCGAGATGAGGAAGGAGCGTGAACTACACACGATCTTTCAGGACTCCGTCCGCGAAAGGCGGATTTCGGACCATGAAACTCTTGAAGAGCATTTTGCGAGGCTCAACTCGATGGTCAACGATCGATTCATTGAGTTTGATGAGCGGATCCACCGATTCAACGAAAAGCGTGCTGGATCGATATCCATGCAGCTTGCTGAGACGATCCGCCACATCAAGCATTACCCTGATGCGCTGCAGCAAATTCAGATCAATATCTCAAATGCTGAGGCGCGTATCGCTACGGTTGAGCAGAATGCTACTCACCGTATCGAGGTCATTAGAACCGAAATGAGCCGTGCTCTCTACGATCATAAGGAGAGTAACCGTGTGCTCATCGATCAGCTCACTGCTCGCATTCAGCATCTTGAGAGTTCTCATGTCCGCAGGGGTGGTTCTGACATGTCGACACCTTCGCGTCCGGAACGGACGCAGTTCTTCGACATCAGTGACCATGATGGGGATATCCCACGTCCCGCGGACTTGCCGCCAGTTCCTGGTGCTCTATTCCCTGGCGGACCGACTACAGCCATTCCGAGATCTTCTTTGTTGGGTCCGATTGATCATGGCTCTCCGCCGGGATGCAATGCTGCGCCTGCTGAAAAGGCCTCAACGGTGCACTCTCAGACGAGTGGCATCAATCTTGATGACATTCTGAGGCGCGCGCAGCAACGAGTCGCTGATGATCATCCTCCTGAAAGTCGCGGGCAAAATAATCCTGTTGAGCCCGTCCGACAAAATTATGGCCAAACGTCTGCCTCTTTTTCAGGAAGATCTCCGATTCCGACCGTTCCGTCCACAAATGCCGCCGGAACGACATCCGGCCAAGCTCCGAGTGTCAGACCCTTCCCTGTCGATGATGATCTGGCCATTCGCAGTGGCGTCCGCTATGACCCTGAAACCCAGAGATTTGCTCCAGAGCCCAAGCGGAGCCCTACATTTCCGTGCCAGATCTCATATGATACGCGAACTGTTCCGGCAGGAAAGGGACCTTCAAGATGGTATGATGCAATGCTTGGCCGATCCAATCTCATTGGCAGCGGTTCTGGTGCACCTGTTCTCCAAAGCGAGACTGGTACCTTCACGCTAGCACCGAGCGCAAGCGTCACTGGGACACTTCGACCTGCTGCCACTGATGATGTCGATGGATGGACTATGCCTCCGATGCCCACCTTTAATGCTAGAACATCCGCCCCTGCACCCAGTGCTGCGCCATCCGGATTAGGCGGACCGCCGCCCGCGCATGGCGGTGACGGTGGTTCTTTCGGTGGTGGTGGCCCCAACGATAACGGGGGTGCATATGGTGGTGGTTTTGGTGGACATGGACACCATGGGTCCGGTTTCGGCCCTGGTGGCGGTGGTGGACCACCCAGTGGCCCGCCCAGTGGCCCGCCCGGTGGTGGTGGCCCTCCTGACGGGAATGGCCCGCCTGATGGTGGACTTGATCCGCCTAGCATCAGGCCCTCCGGCCGGCCGAGTGGGAATGATACTTTCCAGTGCGAGCGCTGCACCGGAACTTTCCCAACCACCGTGCGGCGATCGTGCATATCTTGCCGATTCTCGTGTTGCAATGGATGTTGCCGAGATCCTTTGAGAATCTGTCTCGTGTGTCTTGAGAGACAGACTGGGAATCCGCCCGGTCCCAACGATACGGGATTCGGTGGACCCAAGGGCGATGGATCGCTGAGCGAGGCTAAGAAGGCGAAATGCAAGTCCTTCCGACTCGATCCCGAGCCGGAGCCCGCTCAGCTGCGGCGCTGGATCGTCGACATGAAGGAGCGAGTTGCAAATGCATTCGCATACGATCCCGGATACGCACTCTCGTGGGTTGAGATTCCCGATGGTACACGATATGAAGACCTTCTTGATGAGTGCAAGTACGGAATGCTTGAGAATGAGTGCAACTCTGCATTCCGCGAGTGCGTAAAATCCATTGCACTAAAGAATAAGATCCAGACCGAAACCGAGCGCATGCATACGATAAATCGGCGACTCGGCAGTAGGCAGATCTTGTGGTTGTTGTATGATTTCCTTCGACCACATGTCACTGGCGATTCGACCTTCAAGCTCGTCGATCTGATGAAGACCACGATTGATCGGTTTACTCATGGATCCGAGCAGGAGAGGCTAGAAGCCTTCTCCAATCGGTGGGATCATGTTCTCGCTGGTATCTCAGTCGATCGTCCCGAGGATCCTGTTCTCTGCGCACTCTTCTATGAGCAGGTACGTGAGTTCCGCTGTCTCGAGCTCGATATTATGCAGTTGTGGGACAGGGACGTGTCTGTCCGGAACTACGCGTATTTGCGGACTGTCTGCGTCAATGCGATTACAACTTGGCGCCGGCGTCGCAACCAGGAGAAGATGTACACCGCTACTCGATCCACGTCTGCGCAAAGACGGTATGCTGCACCTGCACATGGTAGCCCACGCAGATCCTTCTCAAGAAGCAAGAGGGGATCTAGGTCTCCTGGACACCGAGACTCAAGAAGAGGGAGTCCCTACCGAAGGAGCTCGCCGAGGCGCTCGTCGCCCAGACGATCCTCCCCGAGGCGCGGTTCGCCGAGGCGATACTCGCCGCGCAGTCCGGGAAGGGCCGCTCCTGCTCCGACGCGCCCTGCATCACGATCTCCACGAGGGCGGGAAATCTGCTACGATTTCAAGAACGGCAGATGTACGCGAGGAAGCGGTTGTAAGTTCTCTCACAACCTCAAGGGCAGAAGCTCCTCGCCGAAAGGATTCCCGCCTCGATCCCAGTCACCGATATCAAAGGAGTCTGGCATATGCTTCTACTATGCCCGTGGATCCTGCACAAGAGGTGATAAGTGTCCGTATAAGCATGTGAAGCCTGGTGCTCCTGCTGAGAGCACTTCTGTTGCCGCTCCTGCGCCTGCTGAGCCCGCGCCGACATCAAGGCGGGTTGACAGCCCGGCGCCAACGCCCTCGGATTTTTGAGAGGGGCGTGCCGCAACCCTCAGGCAATGACAGCATCCTCCTTTGGAGACTTTGCGTTCGCTTGTGCAGCATCATTCGATATGGCATGTCCGTCAGTCAAGCGGAAGACAGTGTCATTTGGGAACACTGAGACCCGCGTGATAGAGTCTTCTTTCCCGGAGCCGGCCTTCGGCCCCGTCAATCGCGAGAGGAATTTGAGCTATTCGTGGC